GAGAGGATAGTGTCTATGGATGGGTGTGGGGGCGCTGGAGACCCTTGATGAGAAATTCGTCTGCTGAAGTAGACTTGAGCCAGATCTGGAATACGAGCAAAACGAGTTTTATTTTATTTTACTTTTGTCTTAAAATTTGTTTTATTATACTTTTTAAAAAATGTCTTTGTCAAGAATGCGCTTCAGCTACATGCAAGGTAGAAGTCTAAAACGTAGAAGCACCAACTCTTTTGACACATGGCCATCTTACTTGGTACCCCCAATAATGCTCTGAAGCCTTGCTCCCACTTTCCATATTAAAGAACCAAAACTCAGAGAGTTGTGCCATTTGCTCCAAATCACTCATCTGTGAAAGGAAAATGCCACTTTTCTCAGGGGAGGTCCTTCTTCTGTAAGATTGGCAAGGGGGAGAGTATCTACGCAGGGAAAGGAGCTGGAACCCACAGTTCCTATCCTTGTTCCCTGGTCCATTGTATCCTGGATGATCGTTCCCCAGGCCCTACTCAGCCACATTGCCTTCTCATTTAGACTCAGGGGCACAGTGAGGGTGGACTGAAAGTCTTAAAGCAAAGGGGTAACATTTAGGAAATAGACGTAGAAACATAGCCCATAAATTGTCGTGAATTGCCTTTAGCAGCGGGATCCCAGGAGTTCCCTCTTTGCTCACCTTTGTCCTTATTCATGTAACTGAGAACATATTTAGCCTACCTACCATGAAGATCTTTAGATGATAAAATTCCTGCCCAAGATAATGGCTGCCTACAGAGACATGGGTTGTTTCATATTCTGCCTCCCAAAGACTTTTAGCCAATTTACCCATATTCCAGGTATTTAATGTGTTCATCAAGGTTCCTGCCACATGGTAGGTGCTTATGAATACTAGCTATTATTGTTCACCTCAGTTTACAATTTTCACAATCAACCTCTCCAACAGAATTGGTGCTGAAACACCATGCTTATTCTTGTGGCTTTACATGAGTCAATGTGATAATCTTATCAATGTAAAAGAGAGTCAATATTCCCATAGGTATATAGGGATAGGTACACACAGTAGCGCTGGAGCTGTTTCATTATAGGATTACTATGAGTTGAGGTTGGTGCTCAGCCATGCCTGTCTCCCCTCATATCCCAGCCTTTCATTAGAAAAGACAGTGAAAAAGAAAAGAGAACTTATTCCTGAATTTGTGAAGCGAGCATAAGAATAATACAGTTGTTAACAGTCTTCTCAGCCCATAGACATTTTTTTAAGCTGCTGAGAGAACTTGGGGAAGAGATACTGAATGGCTGTTAGAAATACCCAAGGAAGCATGAAAAATTAGAGGAGTTTCAAGTGACAGGCAAATGTCCAATTTTTGAAGAAGAGAGACACTTTTTGCTCCCAGATGGTAAGCTCCATTTCATTTCTCAGCAAAAGCCTAACATGGATTTTTGCAGATAGTTTGTGAACATCTGTCCAGGAAACACACACCTTGCTAAAATCCAGCTTTCCAGAGTTTGACAGAGAACATGCCAGGCAGATCCATGCTGTTTCTTCAAGGGTGGATCTCAACCAAGAGTCCTAACACAAATTGATTCTTGTATTACTTTAGTGTCTGCTCTGTGCCAGGCACCATGCTAAGCTCTGGGAATAAGCAATCAAAAGAGGTAAATTTTATGATAGTGAAAATATTCTATGATGTTTTTCTCAAATAAAATGCATCCTTACTAAATACTTGCGTTTATTACATTAATGGCTGAGTTAATAAACCTACTTACTGACTGAGATGAGGCCACTCTAAAGAGTGTTCTCTAAGGGCATGCCTCAGGACTCTGCTTTGTTCCACATTTGCACTAGCAACATTTTTATAATGATGCTTACACATTTTTAAATAATCCAAAAATGATTGGAAAGTGATGTTCATTGATGAACCTAGTCCAGAGAGATTATGCTTTCCTATAACAAAGGCCAAAGTTTAGATTACTAGTAGCAACAACAAAGTCATACTCTGTCTACTAATTTAAATATAACTACTTTTGTGTATGTGTGTGTACTAAAGATTTAATATTAATGCATGCGATTTTTACTACAAACCATTGAAATATAAATAAAATAAATAAAACCTTTCTATCTGACAGATTGACCCCTTCTTTCCAAATGATAACGTTGTAATCTACAACCACAACTATACAGTCACAATAACCACAATCACATGAATCCAGGGAGAGGTATGTGGTATGGCAGAAGAACATGTCTAGCATGAGCAGAAGTTCATTATTACAGTCTCCGTGTGCTTCGTTCTAACCAATCATGTCTTTCCCACTAACTGTTGAACTCTTTAGAGTCAGAACCTATATATTGTAACTTTAATATTTTATCAAATATCTAGATCCTCACAAGTTCTCAATAAGCACTTCTTGAAGATGTATTCCCTCCTCTATGGAAAACTGCATTTGTTCTGAATTGCACTAATTATAGAATGGTATCTGTCTCAAGTTTCTATTCCTGCTTTACCACATCACCACAAATATTAATGGATTAAAACAACATAAATGTGCTGCCCTCCAGTTCTGGAGGTCAGAAACTCTACAAGGGTCTCACTAAGCTCAAATCAAGCTATTGACAGAACGGTGTTTCTCCCGAGACTCTAAAGGAGAACCCCTTTTCTTTCCTGTGTCAGCTTCTAGATGCCTACCCACATTCCTTGGCTTGCAGTCTCTTCCTTCCGTCTTCAGATCAGTAAGTCTCTACCCCTTTTTCTGTGGTCATATTTCTTTCTCTGGTCACTCAACTAGGAAAAGTTATCTGCTTTTAATTTAAGAATTCATGTGATTAGATTGGACCCACCTGTATAATCCACAACACTGCCACAAAAGGTATTCAAAGATTATGTGATTATGTTTAGGATTCTGGCATGGGCATCTCTGCAAAACCATTATTATTCTTATCACAGAGTCCAAATAAGAAAGGTGGTGGTGGTATTAAGTTGTCAGACTATACCCAGGGTAGTTAATTATGTCTCTTTTCGGTCAAGCACTTGAAAATTGTTAGAAAGGATTAGAACAGAGAGGAGGAGTTTTGGAGTTGTGCCATTATAAGGGATGTTTAAAGGAACAGAGTGTTTAGTTTAGAAAAAAGACTTCTATTTAGAGGTGGATGGAGTTGTGGCTTGAGGAGGTGTAAGAAGTTTGCTGTCTTCAAATTATCAGGAAGTTTTCTCATATGACAGAGTATAAACTTGTGCTGCGCTGTCTCAGAGGACAGAATAGAATACATATTTAAAAACTCTTAGAATACAGCTTTTGACAGAAAGTCAGGCAGAGCAGTATGGGTATTATTAATGTCCTTACTGCTGCAGGTTAGAAATACCACAGCCTGAGGGTGTGGGGAGTCATATAAACAATGTGTGAGCATTGAGTAAGGGGTCAGATCAGATGAACCCTCAAATTCATTTAACCCTTATAGTTAATGATTCTTTGGCTTATAATTCTATTCATGGCCTTTGAATACCACTGATTACGTATAGTAGAGCAGACCAGGGCCCTGCATCCTTAATAGGGATCTTTCTGCCCTCACAAAATACATCATAAGAATCTATCACCTGCCACACAAAAGAAGAAATGAAGGAAGCTGGTAGAGTTTACATACCTCCTTGGATGATTATGTGGCCCATGTTACTTTTGAGAAGATAACAATAGTCAAATGGACAGTAAAAGGTCCTTAGTAGTACACAAATATTTGGAGAAACACTCTCTGGCATATTCAGACATGGAAACAAAACAAACAAATGAACTGTAAAGAGACAAGCCTTCAAAAAATTGTAGATTCATTACTATTAGTTGGTCTCTATGGCTATAAGTATGATTCACATTTTGAAGAAATTAGATGTTTAAAATTAAGAAAATAGGAGATGATCAGATTCTTTCTTTTCTTTTCTTTTCTTTTTTTGAGTCAGGGTCTCACATTGTCACCCAGACTGGAGGAAAAAGAAAAGAAGGAGTTGGTGTAGACCATATTCTCTCTCTCTCTCTCTCTCTCTCTCTCTCGCTTGCTCGTTGGGGTCTCACACTGTCACCCAAACTGGTGTACAGTGACACAGTGACGTGATCACAGCTCACTACAACCTTGGCCTCCTGGGTTCAGGCGATGCTTCTGCCTTGTCCTCATTAGCAACTGGGACTACAGCACACACCACCATACCTGGCTAATTTTTTGATATTTGTAAGGAGCTCTCACTATGTTGGACACACTAGTTTCAAACTCCTGGGCTCAAGCAATTCTCTCCCCTAGGCTTCCCAAATTACTGAGATTACAGGCACAAGTCACTGCTTCTGGCCTAGGTTCTTCCATCTTAATTCAAGAAACAACATATTTTTGAGACTTTTTCCATCTGTCCACTTTTGGAATGATTATTTGGAATAACGTGAATAAGATCTCTGAGCTGCTGTAGGAAATACTATTTTTACATCACTAGTGTATACTGCCTAAAAGTACTTTTCTATACTTTCAAGAATCATGTTACCATAAAGATCTTTGATCTTTTAAGTACATAAGTGAATGTCTACGTTGTGAGCCTGAACTGTTCTCTCTTACATTAGACTATTTGACCAAAAAATTGTTTTCTACCACAAAAATGTCCAAAAGAAATCAAGAAGTTCATTATAACTTCAATTGTAAATCTTTATAGCTGTGATTTATGCATCTTCAAACAGAGTGTTAAGTGTCTTTGGGATTGTAATGCTCATTCTGGACTAAGAGGAGCTTGTTCAGATACTTAAACTTGGGAGCCAATATTTTCAGTGATTTCATAGCCATCCTATTTTCTTTCACTTATCTGGATTACCCAACAGCAATCACGATAATCCAAGCCAGCTCCTGATACTCCTCTCTGTAGTCAGGGGAAGGTCAGCTATTTTTTGATCCCCATGGGAGAAAGACAACTCCTCAATCACTATCTCAAAATAGCCAGCCATTCTCAGCTGCTGGGCTGGAGTCCCTCCAGGGGAGAGCAAAGGGAATACACATTTGCCGGCTGGGTGTGAGTGAGATGCCATCAAAACATGAGCTAGGACAACCTTCCCCAAAAGATTCTGCCTACTCCAAACTCTTATTCTTGTTGTTGTTTTTGAGAAGCTAGGTGCCTACCGTTTATTTATTTATTTTTATTTAAAAGGAAGCCAGTGAATTAAAAATGAGACTAAATATCGCCATCTTCTTTGGTGCTGTCTTTGGTGCTTTGGGGGTTTTACTCTTTTTAGTGGCCTTTGGATCGGATTATTGGCTTCTCGCAACTGAAGTGGGAAGGTGTTCAGGTGAACAGAATGTGAGTTTCTTCTTCAAAATATTGATGTGCTTGCTAGAGACAAAGACAGCCTTATTATGTATCTTCTTGAAATCAGAGAACAGTAGTGGAGTGTCTATTTCTTCTTAAGAAGTGATGTGTAGAAAGCTAGTGATCATCACTATTTGTGATAAACTACATTTCTTTAAACATTTTCTGGATGTCATACTTTCGGTTATATTTATTGTGCTGATGGCAGGTTACTTCATTTGTATTCTGTACAGATAGAGAATGTTACTTTTCACCATGAAGGATTCTTCTGGAGATGTTGGTTTAATGGGATTGTGGAAGAGAACAACTCTAATATTTGGAAGTTCTGGTACAGTAAGTACAATTTTAGTTTTATTGTCCCTCTTGTCTCTAAAATAAAAATGAACAGCTTCTTATTTAGTATGCCACTTACAGAGGATTGGATTCTTAATTGTAAAATCTCAATAAGATGTCTTCAAAAGATTCATGAAGAGATTTCTTTTCAGTAAGTAGAAATGGCTGTAGAAATAATTATTTTCTCTTCTAACCCCAGTAGCCCTCTGCATATTTATGACAAAACTGAATTATCCATTGTTTCTCTGTTCCTATTTAAAATACACTAACTTTAACAAACAAAACCAATATTACCTATATATTTTTTTCAAGTGTCTATTATTGCTATATTGCAAGTAAATGGCATGTTAAATTTTGTTATAAGGCTTTGAAATCTCAAATGTAAAAATCCAGTAGAGTTGTATTATTTTACATGCATAGTTGAAAGTTAACAATATATATTTTTTATAATGATACTTAATTACCAGCAGCAGCAGATGAAAGCTTATTTTATTTGGGCTTTAACCAAGTTTGTAGGCAATATCAAAAAATGCCTTACTTTTGATGTTTGTGCTCTCATGGACACTTTAAAGTTCTTTTTTGAAGTAATATAACTTTACAAATCTATGATATATTCCTTCAACATTATTTCTTATATTGAATTAATCTTTGAAAGTCAATTCATTGAAAATAGCTAGCATTTATTTTCATACATTCAAAATGAAAGAACTGTTTATTAGCCTAAAATGTATTGAGGGTTGAAATTATTAACCCCATTAAAACTCAAGGTATAGTCTTTACATAATAGTCAAGAATACGAAATATTTAATCAAAAATTAGGTCGGTGAAGACTTAAGTAAGCTGATGGTAAGTTGGCATATTTAAAGAAAAAAGAAAGTAGTGAAGTGGCATTTTGAGACAAATATCTGATAGACTCTCTTATAATGAATTTTGGGCACAAGAATAAGCCGGCAACTTGCCAATGGAACTTATTTTGACTTTGGTAAAGGAAAGTAAGTCAGACTGTGTAAGAGAAATATTTTTGCCAAAGACTTAAGAAAAGGAATAAGAATATTTCAGTCCACTTTAAAGCAGACATATGCAATTTTGAAGTTTTCAGGCAACATAAAAGTTCCTTCTTGTGATTTCTTCAAACACTAAAAAGTTATTTAAATTATTAACTTGTATGATCTATTATTTGCATCTTTCTCTAAAAATAAGATGGATATAGTATAAACTTTCTATTCATTGGAAATAGTCAAGGCTAAATTAAAATATGTTAGATTTTTGAAGCAATTATTTTTGAGTACCTACTGTATGCTAGGCACTATGTCAGGTGTTGGAGAATATGTGAAAATGAATGACATGTGGCGCCATCAATTTTAAGGTGGCAGTAAGGGCATTTGTGTTCATTCCATTGAACTGTAACGCAGATAGACGTTCTGGACGAATCTACATTCCAAGTCTTGTCTGCTTCTTAATATGAGTTTCATAGGAGGCCTTCCCCCCTCACACAACTATTCTCTAATTTGTTGATGGAACCAGTAGTTTTATTTTGCTTGTGTAACCCCTTTTCCTCATTTTTCTGTTCCACTAGGAATGAATCATCACTAAGCTTCTCAATAACACATGCCATCGTTTTGCTCTCCTTCCTAGCCAATCAGCCACCATCTAAGAACTGCACCCATGCTTATCTGTCCCCGTACCCCTTCATGAGAGGCGCACACAATTCGACCTCCTATGACTCTGCAGTGAGTAAGTACCCTCTGTCCTCAGATTGTCTCTGAATGGAGTCTTATCTTTCTTAAGGATGCCCACCCCACCATTCTTGTGAGCAATTAAAAAATAATTTGACACCTGTAATTCCGACCATTTATCTGTTATCGGTAGATTAGATATAAAAAATGTTATTTTTAACATACCATTTATAATTTTAAATGACATAACTTGGATCTGAAAGGACTTGGCCCTGTGGCTCGTGTCCTTAATCCCAGGAACCTGGAAAGCTGAGGTGGTAGGATCGCTTAAGGACAGAAGTTCAAGACCAGCCTGGTCAACATAAGGAGACCTCGTTTCTACTAAATAAATACATACATACATACATAAATAAATAAATAACGTATCTGGGTGCAGTGGCACCTGTAGTCATAGCTGCTTGGGAGGCCAGAGGCTCATTTGAGCCCAGGAGTTTCAGACTGCAGCAAGCTGTGATCATGTCACTGCACTTCAGCCTTGAGACAGAGCAAGAATCTCTCCAAAAAAATAAAAATAATATAAGAAAAGGACTGACAATGTGGGAAACTATGGGGGAGAGTAGGGAGGGGAAGGGAGGTGGGACTAACGGTAGTCAATATCTGTCTGGGGACAGGGAGACACCCCTTATCCACAAGGGTGCCTGAACGATGCATAATTGTAAACCTAACCCTTAACTGTACCCCACGCATTTCAAATAAAAAATATGTTTAAAATGAAAAAATAAAAATAAAAATAAAACCATTGTAATTTACTTGCTACTTATAAAAATATTTTTAATGTGTTTTCCAATATGAAGAAGTGATATTTATTAGGAAGAACTTCAGAACTTCAGAAAAGGTTTAACTGTGCTAAAATAGTCTTACAATGGAAAAGATTGTAATATACATTGTACTTTAAAAATATTTTTGCAACTGTTGCATATGAGAATACGATTATGTGACTGTATTTATACAAAATGGATGAACTTTGTATGTGTGATATCCCGAAGGAGAAAGACATCCAGATATCATTAACTCACAGCCAATTAAAACGTGAATTTTTAATAACTCAAAAATTAAGAATAGGTTTGTTTTTCAAGAAGAAAACCTAATATATTTAATTTTCTGAATGGACTTATATTAGTTTAAGAAGAGAACCAATAGTGTATGTGTGTGGAGAGAGAGAAAGAGACAAAAACAGAGAGAGAGAGAGAGAGAGGGAACAAGCAAGAGAGAGAGAAATACTAAGGATTTGACTCATGCAGTTTGGGGCATGGTGAGTCTGAAATCTGTAGGGCAGGCTAGCGGACTGGAGATTCAGATAAGTGTTCATGTCGTAGTCTTGAGTCTGAAGACTGGACGTTCTAGTAGAATTGTTGTGCTGCAGTCTGGAGCCTAGCTTCTTTCTTCCTCAGGAGATGGGGCTTTTCTCTTAAGGTCTTTACCCATATTATGGAGGGTCTATCTGTTCAAAGTCAAGCGATTATAGATACTTATGGCATCTAACATTACCTTCACAGCAACATCTAAACTGGTAGTTGACTCCACAGCTGGGCACCATAGTCTAACCAAGTCAATACGTAGCCTGAACCATCGCAGAACTTAGCAGATCTTTACATTGAACTATTTTTCATCTCTCTGTTGAATGCGTAATTTCATACATGATGGTTTTGCCTTAGGTTTGGCAAAGAAGGTAGCATTTGCTTATATCACACCAACACCCCACATTATGGAGGGAGTCTGCGGTCTGGTTAGGGAAGGAAAGCAGCTGGCTTGCAGCTGTTCTTGTTTACCAGGGTTCCTTGGGTGCTAAGGACTGTGGCCATTTTCCTTGAAAAATATGTGTGGTGTGGATGCCCCTCCCGGTTAAAAACTGCAGGAGGTGGCCATTGCTTTGTTAAACTCTGCTGTCTCCCCTGGGCTCTTTGAGCTCTAGCTGCTGTGTTCTCTTAGCTTTGGGTCCCTCCCCTACTTTGGGGAGGTGAATCTCCTCTCTCATTCTCTTTCTCTGATTTACTTTCTTTTTTTTTCTTTTTTTTTTGAGTTGGAGTCTCACCCAGGCTGGAGGGCAGTGGCACGCCTCTTTGGCCACCACAGCCTCAACCTGCTGGGCTCTGGCGATCCTTCCGCCTCAGCCTTCCAAGTAGCTGGAATTACAGGCATGCGCTACCACACCAGGCTGATTTTTTTGATTTATTGTAGAGACGCAGTCTCACCAAGGTGCCCAGGCTGGTCTTAAACCCGCAAGCTCAGACAATCCACTCGCCTCTGCCTCCCAAAGTGCTGGGATTACAGGCTGAGCCACCGAGCCCAGCCCTGATTTACTTTCTAAATACACTGCTTGAAAACTTAAAAAAAAAAAAACGGGGGAGACATTTCATTCACATTTGTCAGATCCCCTTGCATCTTGTTGAATGTGGACTTCTTACTGGTAAGAGAAGCGATGGATAGCAGAGAAAAGAATAGGATAGACTATTTTGTTTTACAGAAAAGTTACAAAAAATGTTCCCCGCCCCCAACATTTTTACTTTATAAAATGAACTGAAAAGTAATACAGGGCTGGCTTTCCAGGAAAGTCGGTATTTCCATAGATATGACTACTGTTGTTGTCATGAGTCACATGCTGAGGTCCTGTGATGAGACTGGTATTGTAAGCTTCATATATTTTTAAAGAAATCTATAACATATATTTGAAAAGTCTGCACCTAAGGAAGATAGTGAAGAACTTGAAAAGCCAGGTAACATGATCTGTGCATAATAATTATGATGGAGATGGATTGTAAATACATGTCAGAAAAATTATACTGCAATTACACTTAGAATTATTATGTAGCACTGCATATAATTAGTGTGTCATCTTTTGGATCTAGTGACAAAACCATAGCCAATGTTTTTTAAATTATCAAACTTCTCTTTGGCACATATATTGTAGCTCCTTACTCATTTTAAGAAACTTCTTTATCATACACTTTAAGTAAAAATGATTGAGATATGCAAAAATATGCTCTACAACAGAAATAATATACACAAGTTTTATTTATCCCCATAATAATGTACAAGCTTTGGGAGGCTGAGGTGAGTGGATTGCCTGAGCCCATGGGTTCGAGACCCGCCCGGGCAACTTTGGGAGACCTCATCTCTACAATAAATCAAAACATGAGCTGGGCGTGGTAGCGCGTGCCTGTAATTCCAGCTACTTGGAAGGCTGAGGCAGAAGGATCGACGGAGCCCAGCAGGTCGAGGCTGCGGTGGCCAGGAGCAGCCACTGCACTCCAGTCTGGGTGACAGAGTGAGACTCCAACTCAAAAAAAAAAAAAAATGTACAAGCACATTTAATGTTGTATTTGTGTGATTTACAATTTTGCTTTTTCCTTGTATCCAAGAGAAATGCATGGATTTCATCAAAAGAATTCTACCTACCTTTTCAGTATGTATTTCCTAGTTAATGACACTGCACAGTCTTCACTAGACTTCAGAGCCACTATTTAGTTTTATGTGGCTTCATAATTATCAGGTATTTAATACTTGCCCAATTATCTCTGGTAAATTAAAAGTATTATTTATGAAACCTGAGGTTATCATGGCCTGGTGAACTATTTGTAAGATGACTGTATTCTCCTGAGTTTTTACAATTAAAGTTAGTCAATATTGAATTCAATAAAAATAACATAGCCTTGTATGATTTTTCTGGAATGACTATTTTAGAATTATAGGACTCTAATGGTGCAAATATATTCTTTTATAATAGGGAGACTTTCATAATAGGGAGATTCAGAGAAAGCATGTGACTGTCTTCACGTGGCTGATTATTATCAGCAGGACTAATACAAACAAGCCAAGTCTTTAGTTTTGGTTTTATTGATAAACTTATAAACTACAGTGAATGAGAAGGTTAATTGTAGTGCTTACTCTTAAGAATGTCTTTTATTTGTATTTCCAAAGAACAATATTATATTGACATTTTCTACCTTTCTATCTGAACCTGACCTGTGTATACAAACCAGGTCTGATTCAGTGTTTCCTTCCATTAAAAACAAAAAAAACCTCAAATACATTTTATGAAATTAAATTAATCTCAAATCTAGTTATTTGAATTATTGCCCAAGCTTAGTGAGGGTGGACTAATTTCCAGAATTGTTTTTGTGGTAGACTTGTGTACTCTGAGGTTTATTAAACAATTTTAATACCTTGTGAGATTTGTCCGAGTTAGATTTTCTGGTTTGTTTCATAGCTACATTCAGTTACAGTTCATTCATTTCGTGTCACGTGGCAATTATGTACTGAAACTACATAAATTTCCAAGATAACTGAACCCTGAGTGAATTAGTTTTTCTCTTTCTTGGTGTCTCCATAGCCTTTGACTACACTTCTGTCAAAGTGCCCGTTAGACTTAACTGTGATTGTTTCTTTACCTCGGTTTCTTCATGATTTATTTGAGCACCCTAAAGCACAGAATGTCACCTGTTCATATTTATATCACCAGAACTTAGTATAGTGCCTGACAATTAATAGAATTAAAAACTTGTATAGAATGACTTCATGCAAAAATTAAAGTTAGCTTTTTAATAATAAACTACTTTAATTTTCTATTTTACAAGTGGAAATTTCTTAAAAACTAAATTACTTGATTTTCCTTTTAAGCAGAATGCATTGCAAATAATTTCACCTCTTCTTAATGAGTTGGAACGAATACACAAACTTGGTCTAGCCAACCTGACCTTTTTTGAATTCCTCAAGCTCAGTATTTGTCCCCTTGCCTGGGGCCCATAATTTATCTATGCGCTAACCCTCCCCAAATGCTGTTACTTCCCATTCCCTCCTCTGTTTACTTTTTTTTTTTTAAATCACAAAGCAGGTTTATCCTTCCAGAGAGTTCAAACTTCAGTTTTACAAGGACTCCTCCTTGCCCATCCCCCGCCCCACTAATGTGTGGACTGGACCACACTCTCCTTTGTAAAACCTGTTCTTTTTGATAATTTATATCACAGATTTTCACTATTTACTTATGTAATTATCTTGCTCATTTATTTTCTTCTCAGTTAACGCTCAGCTCCATGAGAATGAGGGTCTTGTGTGTTTGGCTCACTATTTTATCCACTCTAGGCTAAAAGCTAAATGAATATTTGGGGGAGACTCCATTGTTATACCATGCCATGGTGTTAAGACTGGTGCTTCAAGTTACCATTGATGTGTGTAGAATGTCTTTAGCCCTTTATTTTAAAATTTTATTTTGCATGCTTTTTAAAATTTTCTGTCTTCAGAACATTGCTTTCACCTGTCAGCTATCCTTGGCTGTTGTTGTCATTATGTATTTATTTAGTACTCTTTTCTAGTCTTTTCTTCCTTTGCCCTTGTAAAAAGTGTAAGCTGAAATGAATGATATGAGAACAGAAGCAAAAAGGCAGGCAGACAAGATAGTAGTTGGCAATGCATTAGGCTGCAAGTAATAGACTATTAGCAGTAGGTTAAAAATAAGGACTGTTATGTTTTTTTTTTTTTTCACAAGAGGCCAAAAGCAGCTGCCATAATGATGCTGTCAGGGACCCAGGCTCTGTCAACACTTTCTTTCACCATTCTTGAAGGATGACTGCCACCTTTATGCTCTTCCATCTTTGGAAGAGCAGAAGTGTTCCTGGAATTTGCTAGTAGGTTTCTGCCAACTGGTTCTGCTGTATTTATCAAAATGGTGTCACATGTCCCTAAGGTTGGGACATGAAGTTTTTAGCTTTCTATCCACTATAGTGAACAAGAGGAAAGGTCTGGTAGTGAATCTTGAGTGAATCAGTTGAAATAATCTACCACAGGGGATTACCATAATAATTCTGCCTAAAAATCATCAGAGGTTGACAAAGATTAGTAAAAATGAAAAGGAAATAAGGAATATAGGTGATATTTTAAGAATTGACATGCAAAACTTGATATCCAAATCAAAGTAAGAGGGATCTAGGATTATGAGGAAATTTCCTTTTGAAGGTGTAATTCAGTTTAAATAACACACAATAGAAGTTAGTGTAGTGACTTACCTCCAAATGGTAAGTATTGTTTCAGTGTTGTTGCTCTTTTTAAGTATTTTAATGTGTGAATTGTACATAGTTTTAATCATCATAAAAGCCAATATCTATCTTGGTTTCCTTTTTTGTTAGTGCGTATTTCTCGATGTTTTTATTAATGCTTTCTTAAGTTTTAAATATGTTAGTTGCTGCTTCCACTTTAAAAAATAATTATATACAAGTGGCATTTGTCATAATTTGTATTCTTTGAGTTTTATTTCCAGAACTGTGAATGTGGAATCGAAACATAGGAATAAGTTTCTTGGTTGTTTTTATTATACTGCAGTATAAAATTGCTTGCCAACTGATACTAAACTGTGAATGACTTTCAGCTAAGAAAATCTGGTAAGGCGGACAGAAATCTGAAAGTTAAGATGAGGTTTTAAAGTGCAGGAGTGGGATTAAGTTGCATTTAGACATATTAACTTTGAGTTGATGGTGGAATATGAATTTGAAATACCTTAGCAAGTAGCTTGTTGTGCAAAACTGGTTTTCCTGAAATTCATTAATTAGCACGGCAGATATTGATGAGAAATTGCAGAGGTAACTTTTTATATCAGATATAGTCTTTAAGAAACAAATATCATAGGAAAGAAGACGATAAAATATCAATTTTATTCAGGGGGAAAAGGGAAGAAGCAGACAGTCCACAAATGAGGACAATTAAGTAGCACCTAGAAACAAGTCAGTGAGAAGTCTTGGTGCATTGTCAACTGGTGAGTTTGACAACTGGTTCATTGGCAACAGGGCTGGTAGAGGGGAGAGTCTTGGGAAAGAGGCAGTGGTCCTCAGTGACAGGTGCAGAATGTATGAGAATGAGCAACAGGAAGAAGGGATTGGATCATATGCTGATGGTGCTGAAGTTCTCATAGCTTCTAGATCCCTCTTCGCCAAGGGTCAGCCCATTCAGATGGTTCTTTCCAGGCCCGTTTCGACACCTAAAGCCACCTGAGACTTCCAGATCTTCTGCTGTGTATTCCATCTCTGTTCACTGCCCATTTTCTTAGATTGGACTGAGGGCTCTGTCCTCTTTTCCTGGCAATGTCCTTCCTATCCCATTTTCCTGCACATTTTGTAATCCGAGGATCCTCCCGAGGGCCAAGCCCTGCTCCAGGCTTTCTCTCTTCTCTTCTCCCAAGAGCAGAGGTCGGGAAGCAGTGAATCTTATACAGGGGAGGGGAACAGAACGACGGAATGAGAAACCTCACCCTGGGATATTTCAGGCGTGAGCAGTGAGGAAGTCAAGACCTTTGCAACTAGCCAACACTTGAGCTGAGAATAGTCACCCAAAAAGCACAGCATTACAGAGTACAGAGTCCTTACAAAAACAGCCACATACATGCCCCCTAAAACTTGCTTTACTGTACAAAGTAAAGGAAGGTATTAAAAATGAATGTTCTTACATTTGACAGAAGTGGCACAGGAATGAATTAAGATTTGAGCCTAGAGTTAATATAAATGTACATACTTAAACAATTTAGGAGACACGTCAACATGGTGTAGGTACCTAATTTCAGCAAGACACCCCACACCCCGTTTCCACCCTGGCTTGTGGATAGGGTATTCTGGCGTATCTGGGTCTTATTCATCAATTTTTTGTGTATTCACATATGGTGATTCTAAACATTGTCCTAAATATACCAAATAGGTGTAAATACATCCATTATGCTTTAGTTGTATAGGAAAACTTATGTGCTGCGAAATTTAATGAAAAATGCAATGCAGTCTTTTTTATTATTATTATTATTAAATGTCAAGTACTTTTAATAAGTAACTTAATTTCCTGCTGTTCATTCAGACATTTGGGATCACAGAGCCATGACCACAGACACAGCACTGAATTACAGGGGTAGCCGCAATTCGTGATTAACAGCTGACTTTTCATCCGGGACCCCAGCCCAGGCTCCGAGTTGCTCCCAGGGTGGTTTGCACTGCTTTTACACACTGTAGCTATTGAGAGTAGACTCAGCTTGGAAGTTGTAGGGCATAGCATCAAAGCTGTAATTAACTGGGCTCGGTGGCTCAGCCTGTAATCCTAGTGCTTTGGGAGGCTGAGGTGAGTGGATTGCCTGAGCCCGCAGGTTCGAGACCCACCTGGGCAACTTGGCGTGACCTCATCTCTACAATAAATAAAAAAATCAGCCGGGTGTGGTAGCGCATGACTGTAGTTCCAGCTACTTGGAAGGCTGAGGCGGAAGGATCACTGGAGCCCAGCAGGTCGAAGCTACGGTGGCCGGGAGCGGCCACTGCACTCCAGTCTGGGTGACAGGGTAAGACTCCAACTCAAAAAAATTAAAAAATTAAAAAATTAAAAATTACAGGCATGATGGCTCCTGCCTGTAATTGCAGCACTTTGGGAGACTGAGAAGGGAGGATTGCTTGAGGTCAGGAGTTCAAGGGCAACATAGCAAGCCTCTGTTTCTACGAACAATGAAAAATATTAGCCAAGAGTGGTAGCACACGCCTGCAGTCTCAGTGACTTGGGAGGCTGAGGCGGGAGGATTGCTTCAGCCCAGGAGTTGGAGGCTGCAGTGAGCCATGATTGTGCCACGGCTCCCTAGCCTGGATGACAGAGTAAGACCTTATCTCTAAAGATAAAAATAAATGAATGAATGAATAAATAATCACTTTTTTCCAGAAGGTGCCATTTTGTGCTCTCTACAATTTATTCATGGCCTTCTTGGGGTTGGTTGGCAGTTTACACAATGTCCCTCCAATAATGGGAGGTGATTGCTTTCTGAAAACAATTCCCTGTGACCATTCCCAGCAAGGTGGCCAGGCTTCCTGCATGGAGGACAGGCTTCTGCCTTCTATGGAGGTTTCTGGTGAGCCTGAGAATGTCTGCCACATTCAGAAACAGGAATCCCCACTCATTATAGCGATCTCCTGGTATAGTACAGCAGGATTTCTCAGGCTTGTCACTATTGACATCCTGGGTCAGATAATCTTTGGTGTGAGACTGTCCTGTGCATTGCAGAATGTTTAGCAGCACCTCTGGCCTCTACCCATAGACACCAGCAGCACCCTCTCAGTTATTACAACCCAAACTCTCTCCAGACATTACTGGCTGTCCTGGAGGTGTGTGGGCATAAGATAGTCCTCTGATGAGAAACCCTGAGGCCTTCTAGACACTCGTTGCTCACACTTCGGGCCCAGGCCCAAGTTCTTCCTTGGAATCATACCCATACTACCTATACTCTGTGCTCAGCTCCAGGTCCAGGACTGAAAACAGTAAAAACGTCCTCTGCCTTCTTTCATGCAGAATATTCAAACTGAAAAGAAGCAAGGAGCTCATTTGGGCCTCTCCTGCCTTTAAATATCATTTCTTCTGCTCCAACCTATGGATCTTTTCTTGGAAGAGCGTATCAACTATATTCAAGGAAAGAAAATTATTGAGTGCCTACTGTACGCTGAGTACTGTTCTGGTTGCTTCAGGATCAGTCCCGAATTCTTGTCCTCATGGAGCTTTCATTGATGTGAGGAGGCAAAATATATCTACACACACACACATCTCAAGTACTTGGAGGAAAAATAAAAGAGAAGGGTGGTATGTGTGGAGGGGATTTTAATACTCAACAGAAAGAATGTTTAACATGGGGACTGGCTCATGGTAAGGGCTCTATGGGAGTTACAAGCTGGGCTTCCGGCCTGAATTTATCACCTGGTGCCACCACCTTGGCTAAAAGCACTCCAGCAGGCTTCTTAATCTCCACAAACTGGTTTGTGAAAGGGAGATAAGAATATTACCAACCTCATGCAGTTGTTTTCAAAATGAAACAGCCTCGTAATACAAATGCTTGGCAGAGTGGTTGCCATGTAGTTGGTATTCAGTAAATGCTAGCTATTCTTATGATGATATACCAATTTAGAGCACCAAAAATAAGTCATCATCTTATAATGAGTCATAAATGCATCATAGCTTCTCTCTAGTGAAATGCTTCCTGCTCTCTGAAGAGAGAGAGAGAGAGAGAGAGAGAGAGAGAGAGAGAGAGAGAGTGTGTGTGTGTGTGTGTGTGTGTGTGTGTGTGTGTGTGTGTGACCACATCAGGTATTTGGCAAAGAGTAACATAAATAAATGCTCATTATTAATATCATTATCACCATCATCTAAGTACATGATGGTCAATGTTATGCCATCCCTACTGGTCAAGATTTGGTACTCTTTATCTAATTATATTGAATAAAATTTAGGCAACAAATATTTATTGAGCACATACCATGTGCCAAATATTTTTGTAGGTTCCATGGGCCAGAAGTGAACAAAACAGATACAATTCCCTGCCCTCAGGGGGCTGACATTAAAGTGAGCAGAGTCAGACCAATAAATATAAACTGGCCAATTACATAGTAGTTTGACAATGACAAGTGCTCAGAGAAACATAAAACATGGAAAGGGATATTAGCTCTGCAATGTGGTCATAGAAAAGCATGCCTCTGAGAAGTGACATTTGTGTGGAGGCCAGAAGAAAGTGGAGGAGTGAGCCCTGTGATATTTGGAGGAAGAGTGTTCCAGAAAGAGAGAGCATCAGATGCAAAGACTCAGAGGCTGGGATATGCCCTGATGTGTGCAAACAACAGGAATGAAGGTGGCACAGCTGGGTAGAGCGAGGGAGGGGACCATGGAAGACAGGGTCAGAGAGGCAATGGTGTTGGGAAGGCTGAGCCTTTGCAAGTACTCTGAATGGGGTGAGAAGGGAGTTAGTGAGAGACTTGTAAAAGAACCTCTCCGGTTTGTTGCATTGTTAACACGCCAAGACCAGGATGTTAGGCGATGAAAATGTGTCTAATTCTAGCACAGTCCTATTACAATTACTTATCTACCAGTAAGAAAATCTGTTAAACAGACATCGCCTGTGAAACAAAACAGAACACCAAAAAACTGTGTATGAATGGGCTGCTGTGTACCTTAAAATGTCAGTCCTGGATTCGGTTTATGTTATTATTTTTTAAAAGTATTTTATTATAGAAATTGTCAAGTGTTTACAGAAGGTGTTGCCAGCACCTAACTCAATAATCAGCACATTTTGTCTCATCTCTATAAATCTATATACATGATCCATGCAAGATTATTTTAAAGCAAATTCCAAGCATTATATTATTTCTACCATAAAAATATTTGTACATACCTTTAACAGATTCCACACTGTCTAATTTTTTTTTTTTAATTTTCTATTTTGAAGTAATAATAGATTCACAGGAGGCAGGGAAGATTGTACAGAGGTCTCCTGTACTCCTTCCCGCAGGTTCCCTTAACAATTACATCTTACCTTGTTATAGTACAATGTCAAAACCAGGAAATAGACATCAGTAAGATGTGTGTGTATTTCTGTGTCATTTCTCACACATGCAGATTTGTGTGGTGGATCGCCACCCCAATCAAAACAGAATTAATTCCATCATCACAAAGATCTCCCTCATGTCATCCCTTCACAATCGCTTCTCCCCCCACCATCCCTAATCTTTCACTATCCTTTATCTGTTATACATGTCTATAATTTTTTCATTTCAAGAATGCTACATAAATAAAATCATATAGTGTATAACCTTCAAAGGCTGGCTTTTTAAAAGAAAGTGTATAAACTTGAGATCCATCCAAGTTGATACTTGTATCAATAGTTCATATTTTTTTAATGCTAAGTAGTTTGCTTGACTGTTCTTCTATCTTATAGCATTTTGGTTATGTCCAGTTTTGGATTGTTATGAAGACTGTATACTGTTTGTGTGTGTGTGTGTGTGTGTGTGTGTGTGTGTGTGTGTGTGTGTGTACCTAAATCTTCATTTACCTAGGATAAATGCCCAGAAGTATAATTGTTGGGTCATATGGTAATTTAATATTCAGGTTTTGTTAAAAACTGCCACACTATTTTCCAGAGTAGCTGTACCATTTTACACTCCCACCAACAATGTATAAGAGATTTAGGATATCTGTATCCTCACCAAAATTTGTTATTG